CTTTTTTGAGATAGGGTGACCACATCTGCACGCAGTATTCAAGATGTGGGCGTACGATGGATTTATATAGAGGCAATATGATATTTTCTGTCTTATTATCTATCCCTTTCTTGATGATTCCCAACGTTCTGTTTGCTTTTTTGACTGCCTCTGCACATTAAGTGGATGTTTTCAGACATCCACAATGACTCCAAGATCTCTTTCTTGAGTGGTAACAGTTAATTTAGACCCCATCATTTTATATATATGGTTGGGATTATGTTTTCCAATGTGCATTACTTTGCATTTATCAACACTTAATTTCATCTGCCATTTTGCTGCCCAGTCACCCAGTTTTGAGAGATCCTTTTGTAGCTCTTCGCAGTCTGCCTGGGACTTAACTATCTTGAGTAGTTTTGTATCATCTGTGAATTTTGACACCTCACTGTTTACTCCTTTTTCCAGATTATTTATGAATATGTTAAATAGGACTGGTCCCAGCACAGACCCCTGGGGGACACCACTATTTATCTCTCTCCATTCTGAAAACTGACCATTTATTCCTACCCTTTGTTTCCTATCTTTTAACCAGTTACCAATCCATGAGAGAACCTTCCTTCTTATCCCATGACTACTTACTTTGCTTAAGAGCCTTTGGTGAGGGACCTTGTCAAAGGCTTTCTGAAAATCTAAATACCCTATATCCACTGGATCCCCCTTGTCCACGTGCTTGTTGACCCCCTCAAATAATTCTAGTAGATTGGTGAGGCATGATTTGCCTTTACAAAAACCATGTTGACTCTTCCCCAACAAATTATGTTCATCTATGTGTCTGACAATTTTGTTCTTTACTATCGTTTCAACCAGTTTGCCCGATACTGAAGTCAGTCTTACCAGCCTGTAATTGCCGGGGTCACCTCTGGAACCCTTTCTAAAATTGGCATTGCATTAGCTATCCTCCAGTCATTTGGTACAGAACCTGATTTAAATGATAGGTTACAGACTACAGTTAGTAGTCCTGCAATTTCACATTTGGGTTCTTTCAGAACTCTTGGGTGAATACCATCTGGTCCTGGTGACTTATTACTGTTTAGTTTATCAGTTTGTTCCAAAACCTCCTCTAATGACATCTCAGTCTGGGACAGTTCTTCAGATTTGTCACTTAAAAAAATGTCTCAGGTTTGGGAATCTCCCTCACATCCTCTACCGTGAAGACCAATGCAAAGAATTCATTTAGTTTCTCCGCAATGGCCTTATCGTCTTTGAGTGCTCCTTTAGCATCTCGATCGTCAGTGGCCCCACTGGTTGTTTAGCTGGCTTCCTGCTTCTGATGTACTTAAAAAATTGTTTGCTGTTACTTTCTGAGTCTTTGGCTAGTTGCTCTTCAAATTCTTTTTTGGCCTTCCTAATTATATTTTTACACTTCATTTGCCAGAGTTTATGCTCCTTTGTATTTTCCTCACTAGGATTTAACTTCCACTTTTTAAAGGATGCCTTTTTGCCTCTCACTGCTTCTCTTACTTTGTTGTTTAGCCACAGTGGCTCTTTTCTGGTTCTCTTACTAGGTTTTTTAATTTGGGGGATACATTTAAGTTGAACCTCTATTATGGTGTCTTTAAAAAGTTTCCATGCAATCCTTCCATGTTCCCCCAATCTTTTATTATAAGAAACATATTAAGAATAACATACCTGGCTGTAAAGTGCACTCATAGCTTTGCAGGTGAACAATTCTCATTGGCTTGTTAATGTAGAGGGTTGCTTTACACTGCCCAAAAACCTAAAGAAATATAAATATGTGCTATGACTGTAGGTGGAATTTAGTTTTGCAACCTGTCAGTAGCCATAGAGCCTCTAAACAGTGCATTCTTCTCCATACAGTTATATAATTCTTTACAAAGACGGATTTTGCATTAGTGTTCAGCTGAGATTTAACACGTTTATCACCTGAAAAGACCTTTGAGAAATAAAAAGCCAGATCCTCAGCTGCTATAAATCAACGTAATTCTGTTGACTTCAGGGGAGCTATGCCAGTTTAGAATCTGACCAGTAGGTTCAGATTCTCAGTTGGACACTAAGTACAGCTGAGAAGAGGGAGCACAAAGGAGCTGGTTTGGGCTCCCTGATCATAGGGCTGGTGCTACACCTGCGCACTGCCAGTTAGCTGCCCAGCCTCCCCCCACTTCTTCTGGCAACTGGGGATTGCTGGGGTGCACTGGCACATTTCCTTTTCCCTGGCTTTGCCCCCTCCATTGGGGACCTTGAGGGGTGTATACACAGAGCCCAACCATCTGAAAACAGCTGGAGCTCAGCACAGTGGAAATGTCCCACCCACTCCCGCTATCTTCCAGCCATGAGTCTGACCCTTTTCCAAGCTGTGTTGGTAGCAAGGAGGGAGAATGGCATAAAAGTCTGTACATCAGCTCTATGGCACTGGAGGATCACCCTCATACTACAGTGAACCTGGGTTGATTATGCTGGCGTTAGCATGAATTTATACCAGCAGTATTAAAAGAATCTCACCCAGTATGTTCCTCCTATCAGTGACTTTAAATGTTAATGCTCAGGTGGCCTCTTCAGTATTTCCCCTTGTGGGATCAAGGCACATGAGCTGGGAGCTTCAGAAGTCTTCTGATGAACAGTGTCCATTGGGGCCACTCACCCTTCACTGTTTTTCCCTTTGTGGAGGGCTCCAGAGGTGTAAAAGAGGCGGAACCCAACTGCCCATCAGTTCCTTCTAACCGCCAAAGGAGCTGCTGTGATGGTCAGGACATTTTTATTTTTGAATTTCAGGTTTTGGTTTTAAAAAATAAAAACTGTTTGACAAAAACCAAACATTTTAGTTTGTTTGTTTTTAACCAAAACCTGAATATTTTCATCAGATGCTAAAACAGTCTTTCATGCAGAATTCCTTTCCCAGGAAAATATTTTGTCAAAAAAGTGTTGACTGGCTCTAGCAGTGAGCCCAGGTTGCTTGCTGCATCCGTGAGGCTTAGCTTGTTGTTTGTTCTTTCTCTTTACTTTTTCAGGCCTCTAGTTAGTTAGATTGTCAGAACAAAAACAAGCATTAAGATGAATAAAGCGAGTCTCTTTCATTCCTCCTTTGTCAGGCTATTTTCAGAGAAACCCTTACAGGGATTCTAAACACGCATATTTACCAGTAACTGCTTATTAGATCTGGTTGGAAAAAAATTGTTGAAATTTTGAATTTGAGAACTCTTATAAACTGGTTGGGAAACAGTGAAATATTTTCATGGAAATGTTTTACAAATATTTTTTATTAAAAAGTTTCAAATTTTTAAGCAGCCGACTGCTTATAAGAACCATCTGTGGAAGGATCTTTGCTTCCTTCAATAATACCTGAGCCATACGCTCCCATGTACACGTAAATCTAAAACTAAATAAATGAAATAAATCCTTACAGTTTCATGGGTAGGTCTGTTCTTACAATCCTTCCACAACCTTCTGCTGAGTACATGGCAGTCCGTTTCTACCACATCCAAGGTGAGATAGAAGACAGAACCAGCGATTCTCTAAACACAGCAAAAAAAGGGGTTATGTCACAATTTCACCCATCACAAAGAAAAGAGAATAACAATGAGGGATGGACAAATGTCAGAAAGTTCATACAAGCACCGCCCAAAAAGCTGGAAATGTTGTGGGCCAAATCTTCAGCTAGCATAAATCAGCAGATGCCAGCTGAGGATCTGGCCTGTAAGAACATGCTGTCTTGAAATATTTCTCATGCTTCCAGCCCTCAGTGAGGTCAGAATTATTGCAAGAACAGCCTTTCTTGGAGTTATTTTCACACTTCCTGTTCTGGCGCCAGCCAGAACCCCAGAATGAGGATGAACCATGGTAATGGGAAATTGTTTTTAAAATAGTTAACAGAACTTTATGGTTTGGTTGAAATTTAGATCTGTTCTAATGTTCGTGAAAACAAAAGAATTATCTACAGGTATGTTGTGTCAGTAAATAAAGAATGTATATTGTTGAAGTTGACGTTTCCTAGCATGCATGGGGCATATGACATTATAGATTCATAGATTCTAGGACTGGAAAGGACCTCGAGAGGTCATCGAGTCCAGTCCCCTGCCCGCATGGCAGGACCAAATACTGTCTAGACCATAATCTAGATCAGAAGCATGCTGCAGGCTAGAGCACTGGACTAGGACTCAGGAGACCTAGGTTCTATTCCTTACTTGGCCCCTGGCCTGCTGGGTGACGTTGGACAAGTCATTTCCCTCCTCTGTGCCCAAGTTTCCCATCTGTAAAATGTGATGTTGATACTGATCTCCCTGGTAAAGTGCTTTTGAGATCTATTGAAGGAAAGTGCTGTGTGAGAGCTAGGTATTATTATGGAAAGAGACACTGCAGGCATCTCCTGTGCTTTGCCATCACTGTACAGATACACTATCATGTTTATTTGCTGCTCTAAATGTTCCACTGGAAGAAAACCATCTCAATGGTTCGCCTCAGGACACTGGATATAGTGCACGTGGGTTAGAGAATGCTGGTCCTTCTGTGGATGAAATCAGATGTGACTTTTACTTTGTGCATGGTACCTAGGCACTGCAGTGACACACGGCTTTAAAATGTAATGGCTAGTGGCTAATTTAGATTACAGATTAGACCAGTGGTTCTCAACCAATTTACCTTTGTGGGCCGCATATGCAGCTCTCTATGTGTTATGTGGGCCGGATCCACTCAATATATATATTACCGGTATGGCCCTGAGGATGTCACATGGGCCGCAGCTGTGTGCTGTTTGGGCCGCGGATGGAGAACCACTGGATTAGACTGATAGTAGAACCAGTCAAAGTTCTGCAAATTTCAGTGTTTTTTGTCTCTGTGTGCAGCATTTGGGAGCCAGATTCATTATTTTTGAATATATCTTGTCTTAGAAAAACATTCTTCTGAATATCACAGGTGAGCAGATAGGAATGGAGGGATGTATAAAGAATCTGAAGTTGGTATTCGAGCTTCCAAATTAGTCACCCAAGTATTTTGGAGCACACACATTCTGCATCAAACAGGTGTATTTGCGCTCAAACACATGTTCGATGTCAGATATGTCTATTCCGCTGAATCACACAGACTGGTTTTGAAGCTTGGTGAATTCAGGAATATTTAAGTGCTTAAATACAATCAAACTGAACCAAAATCCTTCTCTTACCCTGCCCAAGCTCCAGTATTGGACCAGTTCTAACAGACAGAAAGACTATGAGTATACTGTACAGTCCATGTCAGTTTTATGTACTGACTTTCAGATGCATCAGCCTCCAGTGGGGAAAGGTTAGTTCAGAATTTATTCAGTGGTGAGCAGATCACAGAGCATTTCATTACCCTTATTTTTTATCGCATAAATACGATTATTAAGAAGGAACTGTTTGAGATCGATTCAGGATTGGATAACGCCTGATTTCTGTTTTCTACATCGGCATATCCCTTGCTTTGATTCTGCTGACACTAACACCACCCAGGGGTGAAAGTAACTTAAGGGACTTACTTGTACGCAGGGCCAGGGTCCTGAGCAAGGGGTGGGGTGGTCTCAACCAGAAGGGGCGGGGCCTCAGGCGGAAGGGGCGGGGCCTTTAAATCCACAGACCCATTAAATCGTCAATGCTACCCCGTGGCTCCGGCAGCGATTTAAAGGGCCTGGGGCTCCGACTGCGGTAGCGGCGGCCAGGAGCCGTGGGCCTTTAAATCGCTGCTGGAGTCCTGGGGCTACCCCAGGGCTGCGGCAGCGGGCCTCTGGCAGTGATTTAAAGGGCATGGGGCTCCGGCTGCTGCCGGGAGTCCAGGGCCCTTTTAAATTGCCAGCCTGGGGAAGCTGCCCCCTGCCGGTACGGTCGGCTGTGTACTGGCTCTTGCCGGTACGCCATACCGGACCGGACTGGCTTACCTCTGACACCACCAGTCTTGGAGCCAGAAGGGAATTGGCAACCACAGGTCAGCAACTCTTGCAGGGGACAGGGGACTTGTTAAAAACAGTAAAAGAAGAAAGTTCCAATATCTAATGATGACTTAGGATCTAGTTAAAAACCTGTCACTGAAGTACATTGATCATCATGTCCTGTGAATGAAGGGCTCTGTCCTACTCCCATTTGAGCCAATGGCAAAAGTCGTAGAGTAGTGTCAAGCCACAAATCAGTTAGGGGCAGATTTGAATCTGAAGGCATACTGAAAATGTTTTCATCATAGGTAGTGATCACAAAAATGAGGGGGAAAGAGAAAGTGTGGCCTTTCCACTGATTTAAAACACAGGCAAAGAAAAAGTTTCTCAACCCTTTCTGAGGAACAAAGGTGTCAATGGTATCCATTAACATTTTTGAATAACATGGCCTATTTGAACGCACACTGTATGTTCCATTTTCACAGCGACACAAATGTGAGACAGTCTCAGTAGTGCTGTTTGTGCTTTTGGCTCAGATGCTGGGTTTAGTTGATCTATTTTGCTGTTCTATACTGTGGTTTTGTACATTTTTTAGAAATAAAAGAGTAATAATCAGTAAAAAAAAAAACAAACAAACCAGGACACAAGCCACGCCTTAAAGGTAAAGAGTGAAGAGGCAATGGAAGTGAGTGAGAGACAATATTGAAAAAGAGGCCCAGATTCTCCCCTGTGCTGAGACATGCCTGGCACAGGAGGAGGGGGATGGACCCATCAGGGAGCAAGTGCCTGATGGCACATCTGCATCAGCCCTGTCATAAATTAGAGTAGCCTAGGGGCTGCTCTAATTTATGTCATCTGGCAGTAGGCCCCAGTGGACCATTCTTTAGCTGGGGATTGCCAGAGCGCACTGTGCTCTAGCCATACCCACAACATACCTCTGATATGCCCATTGTGATGGAGTCAGTTCAGGGAGTAGCATTGGTAATAGCTGTGCTGGTTCTATGCAAGCTGAGAGTGACTCCATGTGGGAAACTCTCAACTGACCTAATCTGGTTGCTTTCTGGTCACTTTGAGCCACCGGAGCAGTGCAAAGGGTAGAGAATCTGGCTCAAAGAGCAGTGGAATATGTGTGCAACTTTATTGACCCAGTTCCTGTCCCTGGCGGATACATTTAACCATGGCATTTTCCTGGGCGGGTTGCTGGAGAAGCTGTGTCTTGGTGGGTAGGAAATAGTGACAAGTCCTAGTAGATGTGGGAGATCTTTAAATATGTGGCAATGGAATTTCTGTTCAGTTACAGCGCTCTAGCCATTAAACAATGCAAGCAAGTGCACAGATATTATATCAGTGTGCAGTAGAGGAAGGAGGTGTTACTTCCATGGTTATACAGTGCCTTACATATCAGGGCCTGGCACATTGATCCCGGCTGGGCCTCCTACATGTTATTGCAATACAAACAATAATAAATAAAATAGTCACATACAGAGATATACTTTCCCCTTAGATCTACATTTATTTTTAAATCCAGTCTGATTTTTACCTGTGACCTGGTTTCAAAGCTCTCTTGGCAAGTCAGTCTTCAATGAGGTGCCCAATTGTATGTGAAAAAATTCCCTGGGCCCAATACACTCTTGCTTTGCACCTTGTATAAGCAAGTACATCTGAGCCAAGTGGGTGTACAATGTTATTAAATGACAATGGTGGTGTTTCACTCCCACTGGACAGATGCCGATGACAGTACTAGGTGCGTGGCCAGAGAGAATCAGATCACCCTGCTTCCAATAGTCCTACTTGCTTTAAATTGCTCCTGTGAAATTATTTCCATTCATTTGTGGGTCAAGTTGCCACTGCTCTGAGAGTCGTAGGAAAATTTAGCTCTTCACGTTCTCTACATGTCAGAATGAATTCCCAGCCTTTGTGAAATGTCTTTCTGAGCATTCCCTGGTTCAAACCCCCATTGCTAGGGCAACGGGACAGTATGCACAAAGTACACCCCCCTCCCCAGGACAAACACTACCCTAGAATGAGAGGGCTCCTTACCTGGGGCTGTTCTTGTACGCTGAAAATTCGATAGAGACCAAGCACGTAGCCTTCTCTTTGGTTGGCATTGATCTGGCGCAGAGCCAGATCCGCAGCTGCCTCTACTGCAGAGTCATTACACGCAGGGGAAAGTAACAGAGGTGGCGGTTCCACCAATGGAGGAGAGACAGCCCAGGAGCATAGCAACTGAATGCCAAAGAGAAGCAAAACAAGCAGGGTCATTCTGCTAAGAAAACCAGAGAGGCAGATCAGAAATGCTATAACCTCTAGGAAGCCACAAGACAGAGGCCAGGGCCAGCATGCAAGAATAAACTTTGGAAGTGGAATCAGGCCTCTTTATATACTTTGTTGTATCCTCCTCAAATAACACGCTGACCATCACCTTTAAACCTGCAAACATGGCAACTGCAAACACCAAGTCAATGACTAGAAGGTTGTACATTCAGTGTAGCTGCTTGTAGACCAAGGCCAAATTCTGCTCTTGGTTTCACATGTCCAAGGTGGATTTCATTGGGCAGGCCACATACATTTAACCTCGCTGATTAAAATCGGTCTGTATGCTGTACTCTGAGAGCAAGGTCTGTTATAAAACCAAGGACCAATCTCCCATTGGCTTTAACAGAAACAGGATCAGGACCAAAGTGTGGTAACTGAATTTACACTTTTTATTTTATTAATTAAATATATATAGAAAAAATAAAATAACAAGCCTTTGTAAAACGTACAGCGCCATCTGTGTTTGAGATGGAGAATGCAGACCTGCCTCACAGTAAGAGATAATATAATAATAGAGACTTGGCCTAAAAAGACCGATGGGCCATACCATGTTGCTTGTTTTTAAGCAGAACTCTCCACTGGCTTCAGTGATAATTCATTGCAATGAACCTGAAGTGCAAAGTGCTTCCCAGACATATAGATGGACACGGTCCCTGCCCCAACAAACTGAAATACTATTTGTAGACATGACGCAAAAGGAGAGCTACTGCCCTAGGTGGGAGAAGATAGGAAGATGAGTGGACAAAGGTTATCAAAATAAGGTCATGCAGTTACATGTCTTGTTACAAAACAAACACAAAGCAACTTCTCCCCAACCCACTAACATCTCCTTCCTGGGGCTGTTGCCCTCTTACTCAGTCCACACATCCTTCTTCACTGTCTGACACCCACCCGCTACCTGACCCTCCCTGCTCATCCCTCATCCTCTCTGTCATCATCCAACCACCTCTCCTCACTATGCAAACCTCTAGCTTTACCTCATCCTCTCCTGCCATCCGACTCTCCACCATCACTCCAGTGACACCCCAGGCAATTCATCCTGCAGACATGCCATACCTACCCCTAACAATCAGCACAAGTCCCCCTCCCCTCCACATTACTGCTGATTGCAACGACTGCTCCCATTTCCTCCTCTCCCTTCCTCCATATGAACAGATACCTGGAATTGTCTCATGGTGGTGCTCAGGTGGACGCAGGTGCCTATTAGCAGGACACCAGATAACCCCTGTACTAATAAAAACACACAGCGACATTTCTGTTAGCCATGGGCCAAACCCAGTGCTGATACTGCTGTAAATTACACATCAGGTGTGAGCTGGCCAGAAACCGGGTGTACATGGTAAACTGTCTCACTGGCGTTGATGAATGTAAACTTCCATGCCCAGGGATTGCTGGGGAGGAGCTACCAGAAAAAGCAACTAATAGGAGAGCATAGGATAAACTAAAGGGAGGAGATGCTTTATCTTACAGCCTTTAGGCAGAGGCATCCTGCTAATACACCCCCTTGGGGTCTGTGGAAATTACACTTGTGTTACATGCTCATTTAATGCCGTCTTGGTGCAACAAACACGACTTTGCACTTTTACCCATTTTCTGACCAATTTACACCACCATTTATGTCACTGCTAAATTTGGCCCACAGGCCAAATAGGAGTGGCAGCTCCTTACACCAGGTCTGGTGTTCAAAGACAGCATGATTGTCCCCCTAACACAGATGTGGGCAAACTATGGCCCGTGGGCCACATCCGGCCTGCGGGACCGTCCTGCCCGGCCCCTGAGCGCCTGGCCGGGGAGCCTAGTCCCTGGCCCCTCCCCTGCTGTCCCCCCTTCCCCCGCAGCCACACCGCTGCGCGGGCCGCGCTCTGGCCCACTGCTCCCGCTGGGCAGCGTGGGGAGCGCAGCTGGCTCTGGCCAGGTGTCGCGGCTGCGAGCTCCTGCTGCTGGTAAGGGGGTGGGGAGCGGGGGGGGGGTTGGTAAGGGAGCGGGGGGGTGGGGT